AGTTCTGGCCTTTTTTCAAATGCCACAGAATTCCGTCTTTGCCGTTCATAATCTTTATTTCGAGTCCTCATTCCCATCCAAGCTCTGCCTCATAGTTTTGTAACACAACAAAAATTTGCAACAATGGATTTTTGTTTTTACAACTAGTCTTACTCGCAACATAAATATTTTCTTTCTTAAGACAAATTAGGAAAGTGGGGCATTGATTGAAATAGAATCGAACAAAATACTTCAAAAATTTTAGAGAGTTTCAAAAAGACGACTTACCGGTTGCTATAAACCAAGCAAACTGACTGAGTGATTACTCACAAGTTGTCTTGATTACCATTCAGTCAACCTCGTTTACCCTGCATAGTCCGAAACGTCCGAAACTTAGTAGTCTCTGATAACGACAATAGACTTAAACGTATTTAAAGGTACAGATACGCCATTTTGGGGGTTATTTAGTCTTGCAATTGAAGCACAATTACATAATCGTTTTTTTTTTAGATTTGCGCTTGGAATATTAAATAGTAGAAATATATTGCTCTAACATTTACATGGTAGCCAGTCTTTTATCTGCAAAAGCATCAATTACATATATAATAGGTTTGTAAATACGATAAATGTAAGTACTCATGCGAACCATGCGTTTCAATATGTAGCCTATTCTAATACCGATGATAAAATAACTGCAAGTAATATAAAATAGTATGTATTCAAAGAATCTTCGTTCTTCTCACAAAATAGTTCCGATATGTAAATATTAATGAAATTATAAATTATTTATGTATATCATTATAGAGTAATGTTTGTGTAATTGTATAAAGTCTGTAATTGTGCACTGAGTGTGCGAATAGAATTTATCGAGGGAGCTGGTGCTATCATCTTTTGCTCGGGATGATGATCGTAAATTTCGATAAAATTGAAAATATTCCTTGGGAATCACTCCGGATTCAGTTCAGTAGGCATAAATGATCTTCTATCCCGCTGATCACAGACCTTTAAATTGTGGAAATGTTCGTCTGTTAATCTGTATTTATATTGTACTATGTTTGGCTGTGTCTTCTCAAATCTTAACCATTTTATCTTTAACCAATTCACAGAATCTTTTTCAGTGTTTTAGTCCTGTTTCTGATGGTTCTTGCACATAAATCTTTAATATCAAGGAAATCATGATGATGAAGCTTTTTGACAATATAGGGTCTTGGTTGTCGTCTAGATGCAGCAATTAAGACAACCCATTCTCT